TGTACCTAGCCCTTTAATAGGTGGTCTCCTAATCAAACTCCTGTCAATATTACAGCTTCGAATTGAATAATTATCTGAATATACTCTTACCTCACATAAAAACAGACGGACATTTATAACAATCTTAAATAATAATAATAAACTAAAATACCATCCATAGTCAGAGAGAGTGTTTTTTCTCATTGTCTTCTAACATTATGATGTAATACATATATTTTGGTGACACATCGTCAAAAAGCTTCGACCAGTACATCATACATACACATTTTACACTTCCAATAGAGATAATATCTACTCGCTTGAGATTCTATTTAGAATCATGCGGTAGAAAAATGTTTTAATTTCAAACAATTACATGTATGCTGTTTAACATCAACATACAAAATTATTTAGATATTGTGATTGATGGAGCTGTCACATACATGTTTGACTCATCGTAAAGTCGGGGGTACTCATGACTCTCGACCTATATTAGGGGTCGAGCGTTGGAAGTGCAACTGGCACGACTTGGCGTGCGTTGCCGAAAGAAAACTGTTTTGGAGATTCTAGGCCCAAGGTCGTGCTCTGGTTGAGTTCAGGTCCACGATAGAGTAGGCCGAGGCAGTTCCGGCTGATTTAAATATTATTTGTTTAAATCTTTTGATGTTATATGTATTTGTGTACTTTGAAAAACTACCTTAAACCAGGAAGAAAAAACTAAGCAAATTTTGTTCTTCTAATAGTATATTTTTTTACTCATTTCTAAACTATATTCCACGGGAAGACCTAATCTGTCTTCGTATACACTTTTCGTTTAGGTTATCTAGCGGGGGGGGGGGCGCTGCTGTACGAAAAGGATGAGAAAATAACAGTATATAGTTAAATGTAAAAACACAACCATCTTTTTATATTAATCATAAAGTTTAATTATTAAACAAACTGTATTGCAATATTCTCCTAACGAATGTTTATATAATCGCATTTCTAAATTTTATTATAATTGTAATGTGAAAATTTGAAGTGCCGCTCGTATAGATTTCGGTGTAAGGAATTGATCTCATACACTGAGTCTCATAATCATTTGACCCTTACCGCTGCTTCAGATATGCAGTCGGTCTCTTGCAGAAAATTGATAATCAGTAATTAGTCATCCAAGAAATTGAAAGCCGTTAAGGTTGACCGAGCACGAAAAGTTACCAAAAATTATATATATTGGCATAGGAAACAACCAATCCATCACTCAATCAGTATAACTATAATGCGATGATCTTTCAAAAGTTTCGACTGTATCAATATCATTTGGTATTTTGAGCACTAAAAATGGCATAGCTAAAAAAGGGAATTTCCAAAACTTTGTTTCATTGTTTCATTTCAGACACTAAAAAAACAAAAACAAAACAAGAAAATTACCCCCCCCCCCTCCAAAAAATAACAAAAACAAAAAACACACCAAAAAACAACAACTTAACAACGTCAGACTGAGAGTTGTTGTCTTGCATAAAATGCAAATGCTTGGAAGTTTGTTATTGTAACATGTTTTCACTTTCTTCATAAGTTTTATTTTCTTTATTTTAGGGTGATTATTTTTCGCTTCTTTTGCTTTTTTTTTGCATTTTGTCGATTCTAATGCTTACAATCAGACGTTATCTGTACCACAAACATGTTTACCCACGCTTCATGAATTTTTATACCTGTATCAATTAACAAGAGTGTAACCCATTACTTCATGAGCATTATGTAAAACAAATGACTGTTTTCATTGAAAAGCCTCCTGTTACAAGTTCAATTGCTAAGGCTTCAATACATTTCAAAATTGGAACAAATGTTGTATGGACCATAGCCTTTGTAACAGTATACTCAATCTTACATTTCCTGCTACCATGGCAAAATTGAGGGGACATCTCAAAATTGCCAAACAATAACTATTTTGCTTTGATTTTTCCATCAAAACTGATTTCAAAATGCTGAAACTTCTCAATTGATTTAGATAGAGTCGAAGGCTTTTAAAGTTTGTTACACATTTTTTTAAGGTCGATCTGAGGATATTTGTAGCCTCTAACATTTCCAAAGTTTTCTTGGCGATGAGGGGGACTTCTCCAAGCAGAAGGGGGCACAAGCCCCTCTTGCACCCCTTGATATATCTGTTTGATAGGGGTGGCACTGAAAAGGTGATCACTTTAATTAACACCATTTCTCACAAAAACCAATGTTTTGGGTCTAAATAGGGCATATTATTCACTATTTGAGGTCTTAAAGGGGGGTGGGGTGAAAAGGCGTAAACAGACGTCAATATGAGGTTATTATTAACAGAAAATGATGAAAAATATTGGAATTACCCAAAATCGTGTTTTTCCATGTCAAAACATGGCTTTACACATACTTTATGAAGACAAATTGTTGTTTGCGGCATTTATTTTTTCATTAACCGATTATCGTGCATCCTAGTTAAACTACAATATTAACATGGCGGCATTTCCCTTGGTGACAAAGACTTGTCATATTATAGGCCTACAAAATATGATTACATACAGCTCAGGCAATTTTCTGTGTACATTGAAATGGCCTGAGGATACTAAATACCACCTATCAAGCTTGGAATCTATATCAGCCTAGTGTGCCATTTATTAAAGCTTCAAGTTTGAGTCCTTTTTATCATGTGACGAAAGCACAGTTTATGTGACTGCTTTTATTTCCATTTCAAATTGTCTTGTTTTAAATAAATCAATTGTCCCGAATACACCATTGACGTACATTGAAATGACCTGAGGATACTGAGCATATGAGCTTTATACAAAAAATAGAGCTCCCGTAAACTTAATTCATCAACAATATGCATCAATGTTAAAAATGATGCTTCTCTCCTCGCCATGAAACTGGTTATACACAAACAAGCATCTTAATCAACTATGGCGTTGCAGTCTTGATGTCTTTTTCTGAGGTAGTTGAAATTGGCTGCCAAAGGCAGAGATCATCCTTAACATTAGTTCTCCCTTCCTTAAACATTTACACCCACCTGACAGTTGTACGATATGGAAGGTCATTTTGCCATAAACTAAATCTAGATCCGATTTTATTTCTAACGAGCATTTACCCAATAACCCTTGAAAAGCTCTCTGCTCCTTTCTCAAATCACAACGACAATCAGCCATGTTTTTAACCAGTCAACAAAATTACATGTTTTGAAATGGCATGCTAAAATTTTATTGCATATGCAAATCGTGCAAAAATAGACAGCTGGATAGTAAAAATCTATAATTACGATATATTATAAATGTACTTCCGCCTGCTTATCATGGTTAAATTGAGCTGTTACAACTAATTTCAATATGCCACTCGAATCTAAAAAATGTTCAGGAAGAATACTTTTATGATATCTATTATTATTACAAGTAAAATGGTTTCCTGCGGTGAACATTTTAATGATATAAAGATATTGCATTTACCTATTTTCAACATTATTTGGGGGTGGGGGATAAATAAACGTTTGTATCAGGAATATAGTTGAAAATTGAATAAACGATCAATATAGAAGAAGGTCTTTGGAAACTGGTGACCGTTGAAGACCGGAGAAGGTCGAACATAAAACAATTATTTCTTTTTAAGAAAATGATTAAATAGGCCTTTCATTTTATGAATTATTCCGAGCAAAAAATAAATAAAGTAAACACACAAGTTTACGCAGAAAATATCTCTATTTATTATGGCAGATGCCACTACGAATATTTTAATTTTGTAGATTTTCAGTATAAACAATTTATTGTTTGAAAAATTTGAGATAGATATAACATTCAAGTTTTTCGACCTTAAACGGTAAAATAATTGTAGAAAATTAGAAATATCACGCAACAGTTTGGGTGCAATTCGGACTAATTTCCTACAGGTAAATCCGTAACGTACCGGCAAACGTTATTTAGCTAGGTTTTCGAAAAGGTCAATTAACCAATCATGTACGGTTTACAGATCACATGCTCCTCCATGTACCGAAAACAGGTCACGTGCTCCTCCATGCCTCAAAAGTTAAACGCTTACCAATACCCTGCGGTCTCCAGACCGCAGGGAATAAATATATTTGTTTCAAAGTATATTTATAAATAAAATCAATATAGAAGTATACTTAACCAATTTAGTCACCCCTTAAAATGCCTTGTTTTGAAAATTCATAGCTATGTTAACAATGTTTTCTGACATAATTTTCTGAATCATGCGTGATAGAATTACGAAATACCATTTCATGCACGTGCATCGCCAGGAAATGTTGCTTGCATCAAATGAGACGATAATCTAAGACGTATTAAATGTACTGCGAAACAAAAATATGCCGACATTTTCAATTTATGAACATGGAAGCAGTATTGGTCATCACAATTTCTTTATTTTAAGTCCGGCATATTCCGCCCATTTCGAGTTGTTATAAATCAAATATTCGCCGATATAACAAGGAAAACATCAGAATAATTGAAGATGACTGTTTTCAATGTAAAGGATTTTAAGAAAATGTATGAAAATGTAGGTTGATTATGATATACAGAAGATTTTTTGAAACATTTAAAGGGTGACTTACTTGAAAATGTATGAAATGTATGAAAAGTGAAATTATTATATTAACGAGACATTTGTTAAGTAAGATAAAATGTGAATGTTTAAATTGATGATGGAGTTATTTTACAGGTGACGATTGTTTGAGTAGTTGTGGTCAATTGAGTATTGACAAACCCACAATACTAGGACGGTATGTCGAATTTTCATTTACCCCCGACACGTATGATCCAAATGCAATTCTAGAATGGCAGCGCAGAATGAATGGAATAGATCAATGGAAAACTCTCCCCCTAAACGACAAGTTTACACAATATGAGAAAAACATGATTAACTATCTGATATTAACAGAAAGTGTCAAACACAATGACGAGGGATTTTACCGTGCTTATTATTATAATGAGACAATGCACTGCTGGACGAACGCTCGAAAACTGACTCTTGAAGGTATGATTTATCAATTTATATAGTACTATCACTATAATATGGTATCATATTCTCTTCAGAGTATGTTTTGTAACAGAGTAAGAACGCAGGGGATCGGCTGGTATAGGTGAAATGAAACCCAATTAACAATAAACCAAATCTCGCAGAAAGACGCTCGATAGTTGCTACCTATTTCGCGAAAAGATGTTATGATTTAATAACAAGCTTACAATTTTCAATTTACCAATGAGATCTTTCTGAGAATTCGTAAAAATAATAAGTAAACGCATGTTTTTTGGACTGTTGAGTAATGAAATAAAATATTGGTATTCATCCTGTCATCGAAGTGTTCCTTAAGTGATTCCGAATATCCCATCCGCCATTCTTGTTAATCTTCAGTCAGAGTTGTTGCTTTTATCTTATCTTAACGCGGTGATTTATACGTCACTTTTACTGTTCATCATCGTTACTCAAGTACTTACTCATCAATTATTAATATGAGAGAAAGAAAAGCGTATATGAACGGGGATGTCAGATAAAACAATCGTTCATTTGTCATTTTCCTTTTAAAGGTGTCGCTCGGTTTTTTATGCACCGCTTCCGTTTTCAATCGGAGCATCTCGGGGATATTCTTTTGCGAAAAGTTGCGATTTGTTCCGTCACCGCCGAAATAACCCGGCGTTTATCATTAGTTAAATTAAAAATGGAGGCGCCCATCTCAAATGATACTGAAAATTTTGATGAAAAGTATAGAAATCTAATATATTTTTTAATTATTTTTATTTGATTTTCTTTTAAATATACATTTGTAGTCTGTAGCCGGGCAAGCCAAAGCCCGGGCCCGCGAATGGCCTTTGACTTCCTTGTATGAATGGGGAATTCAGATAAAAAAAATCGCTCTTTTTAATTTAACAATTGCTTCGGTTTAATCTGGTTCCTATAATGCGCAGAAGGCCAGTCTATACATCCTTTTTTATTCAGAATTCCTCGGTTTTTATTCGAAAAGTTGCAATTGGTCCATTATCGGAATATATACTTTTATCATTGCTCCAATTAAGAAATTATACTGTAAATTTCACTGATAGGTATAGAATTCTATGTTTTTATTTTATTTTATTTTTAATAAAAAATCAATTGTAGTCAATAGTCGGACAAGCCAAAGCTTTTAATAGAAAAGAAATAAACTTAAATAAATTTATAAATGGAGATATAACTACGGTGCCTACATTCAACAGTATTAAATCAAATATTGTAAAACTATCTAACCCTTCTCGTGTCTTTAATAAATTAATGAACATAATAAAATAAAAACACGTTTTGAATATAATTTAAAGTATTTATACCAAAAAGTAGCTTTTGTGTACTGAGATGGCGGATTTATCCTTTGATAACTATATGTTTGCCACTGACGTAAAAAATGTTCAGCGTTTTCTATTCACAAACTTGGTTTTGGATAATATGATTGTTATATAAGGCAGAGTTTAAACCACTGCATTTATTTTTAAGACGTGTTTGGTGTCGTGTTGCTGAACGTTCGCTGTTTAACGGATCAATGGTGGGGGGGGGAGGGTTTCTGATTCTCTTTTATGTATTGATAATTCATTCCTAAGCTACAAATTGATGACGGGATAATTGATTCTGAATATATTTTGGATCTCCTTGCCATAGTAACATAGTTGATCTTATTTTTTAAACTATAATGCTTTTCATTTGCATTTTGTATTACAGGGGACAATAACCGTGATAAATATAATGGCAGTAAATTACAATGTATGTTACTCTTCGTATACCTAGTTTTTTTTTTTTAAATTTTCTTTTTTTTTCTGCCAAAGATACCCATCCTATTTTTTGAATAAGTTTTGAATGGCCATTGATCTAGTTTATCCGGTAATAAATGCTGCATTTATTTCTAAAATATGTTTCACATACTGGAAACAGCTATCCCATAAAAGTGAATCATATTCTAGACGTAAGTATGAAATATTATTGAGTGTAATCCTTTGGACTTCTTAAAATTTTAACATTTTCATGTAGCTAAAATTTAGCAACCAAAGAAACTGTTGTAGAAAAATGTTCCTGCTTTGACATACCGGTTATTGAAATTATTATCAAAATAAATTATGGCCTTTTTTTACAAAACGAGAAGAACATAACTTCGGTTTTTAGGATTGCAGTTAATTAACCAGTGTTTAGTGATTTATTTAACATGTTGATATCGTGATTGAGTTAATTTTCCATGTTATTTTGTAGACACAGCTAAAGAACTATCATCTGCAAAACGTCTTGTTATATTGATATGGAATTAGCAGTATCCTTAACGTAAAATTAAAACAAAAGGGAACAAAATATTAAAAAAGACCATCACCAAAATGCACACACACTACACAAAAAAAAAAACACGAACTAAAAAGAACACAGTCGAGCGTTGTCTATGCACGGCGGTTGTTCTTTTTTTTCTTCTTGTTTTTTTTTCTAGATTTTATTTATTGTTAATTGAAGCTCATCTGATCTCTTTATGTGGATTTATTGTGGGTAATATAAATAAATCCGCTTTTATCAGTTTAGGTTCTAAATAAATTGCAACTAACTGGAATATCTTAAAAGTTAAACACCGAATCGGTTCTACGATTAATAAGCGTAATATCTTTTTACCTGTGTCAATGGCTGATTGGTTATGCTTGTTGTCTTTGCTCGTTTGTTAACCACTTGCCCACCTATATTGACAGGGACATTGGAATCTTTAACATGAGCAAGTAATACATCTAGCTAACGGGCATTGGTAGTACAACTCAGGTGCCCGTCCGTTTCCATATGACATCGACTGTATTTGTGCGACGTAAACATAAACCTATAAAAAAACTTCTTAGTAACTAAAGCCAGAACTAACATGTTATTTAATGAAACACCTGAAATCAATTACCTTAAAATATTTTCCAGATACAGGAGATTGTGGACTAGTGTACCTCAGATCTGAGAAGTTAATTAAGAATGGGACCGTAGAAATAGAATATTACCCGTCAAAGTATGTGATGAATAACGGGGGTAGTTTTAGCTGGGTACACACTAACGACAAGAAATCAGAAACGTTGATATTGGCTGATGAAAGTTACAAAGAGAGATTTGGGCTCAATAACAAATATGTGTTGACAATATATATGTTCAGTGGTTCTATGAATGGAAAATACAGTGTTTATTGCGGCCAGAGGTTACTATACACAAACGAAATACTGTTAAAATTACCAGGTTGGTTTGTGTTTCTAAACTACTGGGACCTCCACTCGGGTCCAAACGTCTTATACATTTCATTTGAAATTTTTAAATAGACCATTTAGGGCCTTAAGATCATAATGATAGGAAGTAACTCAGAAATAAATGGAAACTCGAATTTTGGTGCTACTGTTAGCTTGAATTGATTGAAAAGCGTTACAGCGCTTTTCAGTTATGGGTCAGTTTTCGCAATAAGACTATTTATTGTCAAAAAACAGAGTGAGCAAATGATGCGAAATTTTGCACACAAGCTATTGATGTAAAGCTACACTAAACGGAACACTAATCTCGAAAAGTTAATTCCAGTCCTTTCTATACAAATAACACCAGTTAAGTACCTTTTGAAAACTACAAAATTAAGTAGACGAAAGGGTAACAGCGAGTTATACATCATAACAGTTGGTGTGATTTTATTTTAAGTGTGCAGGAATATTTTTGCTTGCACAAATAACATGTTTGTATATTTCTGAATTTTTGTAAAAGATATCAATGCGATGTAAAAACAAAATTTCAAACAATAAATGAAAATAAACAGAGAAAATACAATCACCATTTATTAGCAGTAAACAATTATTAAACATATTTTCAGAACAACCAAGTGTACCTGTATTAGTTGGATTACGAAGCATAGAAAATTGCACTGACTGTATAGTTGGTGAGGATAATGAGATGTTCAAACTTGAATGTGAGATACATGGTGGCTCCCGTCCTCTAACGGTTACCATGACAATAGGAAATGACTCATATAAACCCCAAGAATGGAATTCAACAACCTATATGGTATTTTTCACCGTTAGGAACCACCATCATATGAAAATTGTGATATGTTCAGTCATGAACGATGCATTGTCGTCACCTTTAAATGTTACTGCTAAGATGTTTGTTATAAGTAAGTATTCTATGCTTATTTATGTGGACTTAAGATGGTATGTTTAGTTTTACACGTTGTATATTCACAATGTTACAATCAATGTTTTTTTGAAAACGATCTTGATTTCATTTCATTCTTAAATCATGTAAATGAAAGTAAAAGCTAATTACTTTTGAAATTTAACAGCATGTATCAACAAAAAGTTTTGATCAATTAAATCTCATACATTTTATACTTTTGGTATACATTTTGTTTATTAGATATGATATAAATTTTAATGGTATATTTTATTACAGAACTAACCAACTATTCGTTATTTTGTATGGATGTCAAAGTACTACTTTGTTGTCAATTTTCTACTTACTTGAAAAATAATTTCACATTCAGTACTAATTTATTCATGCTATAAGCGTCAAACATGCTTTAAAACCATTATATATATGTTATAAAATTAATGTTTGCCTTTTCTTAAGAAGGAATAAATATTAGGCATAATGTGCCATAAATATGCACTAATACAATTTGGCTTTCTAGCAGAGAAATATATTATATGTATATAACGTGCATATTGTAGCCTGTATATGATAATGCAAGGACGTGACACGACATAATGGTGAATGTGAAGGATGGTAATTCGACTTCGGCCTTGAACTATTTTATTTATACCAAACTTAAAATAATCACCTTCTCAAAGGGTAAACTGACAAATGAACCTTCTGTTACTTAATAATATTTGCTACTGTGTTCAAATTTGAATGACAATAAGTTACATAATTTGAAAGAGCAAATATGGGTTTGTATTCTGGAGGTATTTTAGGCCTCTCCTTTTCTTTCTCTGTCCGTCCGTGTGCAAGCATGCGCGTTGGGTGCACAAGTCTTTATTTGATTTTTATACTTTACATTATTATTGTAAAAGTAAATTGGAATCTTATATTATTTCAACAAACATCTGACGAACACTTTAACTTGGTAATGTGTACATATTGTTCAAATAAAATTAATGTTTGACACATTTGACGAATAATAATTTAAGCATTCACAAATTGCCTTATATTTTACTGACTGAAGTAGCTGATAAAAATTAAGTAACGCTTTGATCATAAGGTATCCGTCAGCTGTTGTTTATTTTTCTGAGGCGACAATAATAATGAACCTAGTATGTGAACTCCCTGGTCAAAATGAATTTAGATTAAAGATATATTAGTAAGATGTTTTAAAAGATGTTTTCTTTTCCGTATCACATGATTTGAATCGTATGTGACCACTGGTACCTACGAGTTACAAAGCCCTATACTGTCAAATGCATGTATGAAGACATTGTAACCACAATCCCGACCAAGTGACATAATCACTATATTGCCTAGCACCGAATGATAGTACGATAGTTTACACAGAAGTATAATGTCATTATATACTCTATTATATGTTATTTAAATTTCAATTTTAATTTTAATTACAGTTAACCCAGATGGTAGAGAGACGAGCGATTATATGAGTACAACAGGTAAAAAAGTCCATTATTGCTCAATCTGTCCATGTTATTGATATACGTACAAGGGTTGTTCATTAAGTTCGTAAAAAAAGCCAAAACATAAAAAACGAGAAACATATTTGCATTCACAAATTGCCTTGATTTTTACTGACTGAAGTTGCTGATGAATAATAAGCAACGACTTTGTGAAAGGCATCCGTCTAGGGTCGTTCATTTACTCTAGCGATAATAATTATGAACCTAAGTGAACTCGCTGGTGACAGTTAATGTAAATTAAAAATGATGCAGTTAGATGTTTTGATAGATGATTTTGCCGTAACACATCATTTGAAACGTATGTGACCACTGGTACTTAACTACAGCAAAACGTTTAAGAAATTTCCTGTCAAATGCATATAATGTAATATATTCAAGAAGCGTAATCATAATATTACAACGCATTAAAAGACATGCACAAAAGTATTCACATAAATAAACTTAATGCCATCTTTAGATAAATACACTGTTATATGTTATTACTTTTTTTTTAAAATTTCAGCTTATCCAGGTGGTATAGAGAAAGGCGATAATATGAGTGCAGCAGGTAAAAGAGAAAATGCCCAACATTGTTCTATCTGTCCTTGTGGGCTTTTGCAATACTTGCAAGTGTTGTCCTTTAAGTTCGTATAAAAAGCCAAATTATGAATATTATAAAGCAGTAATTACATATTTCTATTTACTGTCAGAATATCTATCCACACGGTAATTTGTATGAAAAAACATGTCATAACATTTTTTGTATTTTCTATTTTAACAATCGAAATTTTGCAAACCTAGGCAGGCAAAAAAATGGACGATTTTCTTTAAAAACAAAATGTGTTATTTTGTCAGTGTACAGTCAACACACTGCTTCAAACTAAAGTGATTTTGGGCGAATATAATTATATATATATATATATATATATATAATATATATATATATATATATATATATATATATATATATATATATATATATATATATATATATATTCTTGAGTGCTCGAAATGTCGCTCAACCTACTAACTATTGCAAATACTCGTATAAAATTTAAGAAACGTGTTACTCTCTCTCTCTCTCTCTCTCTCTCTCCCTCCCTCTCTCTCTCTCTCTCTCTCTCTCTCTCTCTCTGTTACCCGAGGCGTAGCATTAGTAGTATTTATACGAGGGATGATATTTTTACTGTTACCCACAAACCCATGAGTTATTTATTTTATTACCCCGAACAAATACTGTGATGATCTTAATTTGTCAACTAAATCTACAGTAACTGTAACAAAAATAAACCAAGAGAAGCAATAACTAAACTGTCCTTACCTTGCAAGTTTAAAGTGTACTGTAGGCCTACTTGAGAAGCTGTTTTTAATTCTTTAGGCAAGTGATGATATCTACCAGTCATAAACATAAAATAAGCGGTGTTTTATTTAGAAAACAAAACACTAACCCATTTATAATATTATGATCTGTGAAATCAAATCTGATCCTTCTGCATCCAGAACATTCTTCGCATGGTTTTTGACAAAGTGCATTCAAAATTAACGATGATATCCTACAGATGTAAGTCCATCAACTCTATCTGTAACGTTTCACTGGTTTAAATTGTTATATAATCCTTTGTTACCTGCTTTAATCGTCCGCATGTTCCAGTTTGACACAAAATTATTCAAATTACAATTACTTCCGTTGAAAACGGGTGTTTCCTTTTGACTATTCAACAAAAAGATATTTTATGCGCGAAAGGAACTCTAGGGTCAAATAACTAAATTTTATGAGAGTAATAAGTTTTTCGGCGATGCCCCATCGTCGAAAATAAGAATGAATCGAGAAAAAATTGCGGCCATTTCTATTTCATTTCATTTAGAAAATAGACCACGTGACCAGATTTTATACTGTTGAAAAATACTGTTACCTATGCAACAGTACAACATTCTTAGTCACGTGGTACACTTGCATTAACAGTAAGAATAACTCTCAGAGGCCTATGGAAAATTAACATTACGAAAAAAGTGAGGGGTAATAATACTATTTAATATCTTTATTTGATTTTTCTTTTACTCTGGTAATAATCATAATGAACCTAAGTGAACTCGCTGGTCAGAGTTCATTTAAATTAAAGGTGAAGCGTATAGAGGTGAAGCAGTAAGAGGTTTTAAAAGATATTTTTCTGTACCATATCATTAGACTCGTATGTGACCACTGACACTTAACTACAGCACAACGTTTTAGCACTATTCTGTCAAATGCATGTTTAAAGTTATACATAACCACAATTCTTTTCAAGAATCATAATCATGATATTTCAACGCATTGAATGACATTCACAATAGTATTCACAGATTTATGAAATTAACTATGTTTTTATATAAACTATGTTATATGTTATTAAAATAATTTTTATTTTCTAAATTACAGCAAACCAAGATGGTATAAAGACAGGCGATAATATGAGTACAACAGGTAAAAACAGAAAATGTCCAACATTGTTCTATCTGTCCATGTGGGTTTTTGTTACACGTACAACGATTGTCCTTTAAGTTCGTATAACAGCGAAATTGTAAATATTATAAAGCATTATTGTATATTTTAGGAGAATATTTGTATTAACAATAGGAATATCAAACCACGCGGTATGAAACATGCGACACAAATATTTTAAATTAAATAATCGAAATTTTGAAAACGCAAGAATATATCGGACGTTTGACTTCTACCAAAGGTGTTTTTTTGAGTGTACAATAAATAAACTGCTTCCAGCTACCATGATTTTCCGCGAATCAATAACAGTTGTTTTTAAAACTTTGACATCATGCACAACTTTGCTCTTACAGCACGCTACGCTTAATGAACTTCATTAACTGCAGGGATAATCGGCAATAATCACCGTTGCCAAAGGGTAAAATGACAATTGAAGCTTCTGATACTTAAAATATATTTGTAACTGTGTTCATATTCGAATTATAATAAGTGTCAACGAAAATGAAAGAACGAAAAAAAAAATCTTTTCTCGAGTGCTCGAAATAGTCGCAAAACCTACAAACTATAATACAAATATGCGTTAATATAGAAAGAGAAGATAATATGAGTACAACAGGTAAAAACAGAAAATGTCAAACATTGTTCCATCTGTCCATGTATGTTTTTATTACACATACAACGGTTGTCTTTAAGTTCGTATAACAGCCAAATTATCAATATTAAACAGCAGATTTTGTATTTTTGAGAAGAATATTTCTATTAACTTTCGAAATATCAAACCACATGGCAAATAGTATGAAAGAAACGTTATAAGTTTTGTTTGTAAACTCTATTTCAACAATCGGAAGTTTGCAAACCGGAAGATTTCCATCTTCAAAAAGTGTTAGTTCTAAGTTTACATTTCAACTGCCATATTTTTTCACAAATCACTCAATGTTGTTTTGCATTTTACACCACTGTGCTCTTACAGCATGCTTAATTAACTGAGCTAGCAGCATGGACAAAATAAAAAAAGATGTTATTTCACATTCATAAACAACATAATGATTGTGCTTTTTTTAAATCCCTTAAAATCAGATAATAAAATGATAAAAAGAAAACAGGGAAGGACGACGTTAATTCATATGCAAGGTTTGCAAATGGCATTAATCAAAAGTGAAATGCGGCTTTGAAGACGAGTTCTGCGTGAGTAGACCAAAACGAATTCAAATAGGTAGTGTGACCTTAGTAAAAAGATCTGGTACAAAGAAACAGCGAGCAAAAGTCTGTTTTGATTTATACATAGACCATATTGCATTTAAAGTGTAAGTTAAATACTCAATTTAATGAACGAGTTGACTAAATTTATATCATTCGAGCCTCGAGTTGAATAAACGTTTAAAGTGAATCATTGACGCGCCTATATAGCTTTTTACGACGCGTTTTGTTGCCATAGAAAGTCAATCGGAATGTAGTATTGCCTTGCACATGCCTGATTTTATCCTTTATCCAATTGATACCAAACATAATTTATTTAAGTCACATAAATATATTTACATAATATTTCAAAATATTTCAAAATTGAGATTGGTAGTGGGTAGTGAAATAACACACTTTTATAATCCGGTTCCTCGTAACATATGTAAATGCACGTCACACTATTTGTCACTTCACAAAATCAATAAACATTGATGAGATTCGTATATGTAAAAGTTACTTAAATAACGATTGTGATTAACTATGACAAGGTACAAAAAGGTCCCGGTTTAATGATATTGTAAACTAGGTTAGCTGGAAATAAACAAGCTGTCACGTGTCAATCTGTTTGGCACCTACCACCTTGCCAATCCAACTATTCAAAGGCAGTGTACAATACAAATTGTGCATTGTTATGTAACACAGGGGTAATAAAAGTTAATTATAATCACCCTGCTGTTGCAATTTTAATTTCTGATTGGAAAGTTGTCTAACGATATCTTAGAAAGAGGACTTTTGGTCATGCGTTTTTTCATTGAATTATTATTCCCTCATAGTTTCCTATATCTGTCATAGATACAATTAACGTACTTGTTGCTTTAAGTCATCCCAAACTTACTGTTTTCCGGGTGACATAACTTGACATCACGTCTATTAAAGCATCTAAATATGATTAATTGTAGTCATCGTTGCGTTAATGCCCTACGCAGAATACGCATGAGTGATATGCAACATTCGTTACTATGAAAAAATCGTATTATCATAAAAAACTATTGATCTTTTTTTGTGTTTACAGGCACAACGGAAACAGGTGTAGGTTTAGGAGCTGTACTTGGGTCTGTGATTGGTGCATTAGCTGTTGGAATTCTTATTGGTGTGATTTGTACCTATTTTATTCTTACTAGAAAAGGAATTTTAGCAGGTATTGTAATATCATCGGTCGTCTGTCATTTTTAGATCATTAGCTACGAAATATGGTTTATAAGCAAACTTGAAATAGACTGATAGTTATCGGTAAAGCATACAACCATATTTAAACACTGTATTAGTTTAGATCTTTTAAGAGGATGCTTACGCTTTTACCTAAGGAGTAGTAGTAGCTTCCTTTCGTTTGTTGGTTTTTTAAAAAAATAAGTCAGTAAATGCAGTCGAAAGCGTGTTATGTCTTTAAATTATGTAGTTATACCGATTGATTTGTTTTATTATTTTTATTTTTGCAGAAATGATGTAGAACCATATAGCAATAAAAAGTTTGATTTTGTTATTATGTAAAACAAATTGAGAACAACATAATATGTTATTCTATGAATTACTTACTGTTTTAAGTGGTAACAATTCTGCTTTTATCAAACATATCTTATAATGGTTGGTCTCTAATATATGTTAAAAACAATATATTTTGCATGCATATGTGGTTTTGAACGTTCATAAGTTTATTTAATTTTAGACGCAATAACAGCTTAGTATTTAAATGCTTTACATGTCCTATGCTTTTTTGATAACACAGACTCGAAACCTCAGCAGACAGTTTCTCGTGACATTGAATTAACTGGACCACCAACTGCTCTGTAAGTTACGAACGTTTTAAATGTTTTATTGATAAAACATTACATTGTCAAGTGTATTTCGTTTCGAAAATCACGATTTTATAATACATGTATGTCATGATCATATGAAAGATCAGTTCAAAAAATAAAATGGCAAAGCTAGGGAGAGGCCTGGTTGGTGCATACCATCCATTAATCTCATTCGCCCTTTCACTACAGCGCTTAAATTGATATTTTTGGCATTGAAGTTTAACTCGTTTTGAAAATCATTTATACTAGGGATATCTACGAGCAACTTCAAAACAGAACAGATACTGAAATCAGGGGAACTTATGATTCTCTTGAAGGTATGTTGATTTTCAATAATTTCTTTCATGTCGTTATTCATTTAACATGTGTTACGAGCCAGGCGTAACGAGAAAGAAAAGCCAGCAACAAACTTGTAACAATAACAAATTTATTACAGAAAAATTATTAAAGAAAAATAAAATAACAAATTATGTTTACAAATACCTGAAGTCCAAATAAAAATGAAAATTACAAATGTCTAGTCTGATCCTGGAATGATCCTTTTTGAATAGCACAGTTAAATCCAAGTTAAATCCAAGAACACTTTAGAATAAATTCCCACAACAAAATCCACAAGAATAATTTATTTTAAAAATCCAAGCTCCAATAATTCACTTAATATCCAAGTTGAATAATACTCCAAATATATTGATTTCTTAAA